GCATATGTTTCGTCGTTTCGCTAGACAATATCGGCTGATACACACACATAACCGTTATTCTTTTCTTATGTTTCCCTCTTAATATTCACTATGCGTACGCAAATTCTGTACAAGACTAGGTTAGTCGACCGATTAAATTACCACTTCAAAGTTATTTTCTCTGTCGGCTTTAAATGTTCCACGAAAAACTACGCTTCGTCCCGCCAGTGTTCCAAGGATACAGCACTTTGTAACGCTGCCGTCGAGTTCCATTTAATTAAATATAAGTAGTATGGTAGAACAATAATTATAATTTATATACATATGAACACATGTACATTAATTTCCCGGCACGCCGTATAGTCACGTGAAACGTTAATTACGGAATCCAGGGAACGGTTCTCCCCTTCATCTTTCCCAATTGATCGAAAAATTATACTTAATCGAATTGCCGACGTATAAAATCTAATTCAAAGTTACACTTCCTTGGTAATACTTTACCGGTAGAATTTCAATATTCAACGTAATTCCGCGATATGGACACTCCTAAACTAAATTCGATCGGTATCGCAACGCCAATGAATTTTCACCAGTCCGTTCGAAACGAAATCCACTCCGAAGACGTTCGCAATGACATTAAAAAATATACTCATCTCGCTTTGATCTCTCGTTCCGTTTGAAAACTACCTGTGAACATAGTCAGCGTTTCAATATTCTATTTCGCACAGCTGGCGTCCGGTCACGTTAACATGTCGATAAGGTACTCCCGAAACATTTTATCTGCGTTTTGATTTAATGATATCAGGTGTCGTGGTTCCGCTGTGTCTAGGGCTACGTTCCCCTACGTGCAAAAAGCGTGGTCCACGCGAAACCCTTCCACACGCATTTCGTAAGTATAAGGAATATGTATCACTGCAGTTCAACTTTTGATTCGCCGTTATTTCTGTTAAGAATAGCGATCCGTAAATTCCTTATTATACATTATATCGTTCTCGCAATGTCCTACTAGTACGCGAAGAACATACAACGTTCTTCGGACGCGAAGACGTTCTTTTTTCCTGTTTTGTCAATCACGAAACCAAGAAATCCCTTCGTTCCTCGACGAATACGCCTGGAACTAAAATGGCGTAAGAAAAGACGACATCACGGTATAGCGATTCTATTATGATTCGTGTTTTCACTGGTCGCACACCATTTTGTGTACGATCCCGTTTTTTAAAGCGTAATTCAGTCTCTCGTCTCGGCACGAATTCGCCTCGATCGCATAAAATACCAGAGACAAACATTCGCGGGGAATGAACACCGTCCGAATCGGTTCGATCGTCGGATTCATTCTAAACGTTCAGGTCGGCCATCATCTTACGGAAGTCGGCGAGGGTATTGTAATCGGGATCGGAATCGATGTCCGCGAAATCTTTGTTCGAGTCGCTTTTCACGAAGCTAGGGTTGTATCGGCTTAATGACAATGGGCACGGCAGTAATTCTGGCATCACCGAGTGGTGAGTAATTAGGGCAGTCAGTGTCGTGAACTCCTTTGTGAAGCCCTGCAACAAAAGATGAAAAAAAGTGCAATCAGTGCTCGCTCCCAATATTAATTATACGTCAGCTTTGTCTCGATGAAAGCACGGATTTCAGTAAATCGTCTGTCCTTATAATTGCGTTCGTAAGTAAATAATACTTCGTTGATTAACAGTTTTTTTTCAAATCGTATACGACTGTATTCGTTGGTAAAGTCATTTCATTTATATCATTAACGGTTCAGTTATTTGCATCGGAAAATGTGAATTTTAAATATATTCACAAATGAATGCTTGTCAGTTCAATGCAAATAATGAGCAAATAATTATTCTCAATTGTGATTGGTAATATTTGAATTACAGGAAAGTGTACGTATCAATATGTATTAAATTATTTTATTATTACGAGTCGTTAGACATACGAATTTCCATCATATCCTGTATCGTTCTGATTAATTATCGAAACAGTACGGAGATCGTATTAGGGGAGTATTTTAGTTTACTCGAATGTAATGCATTATTTATTCATTAAACAAGGCAACGTCAATATGATTATGTTGTCGTATGTATTTGAATCTCACGACGTATTACTGGAGCAATGCAATTCCGGGCGAAAAGAGAAGGGAGAGTTTTGATTTCCCTACGGTACATCCAGCGAAACTCATTTATACCGGTTTCAGAGATTATCAAAGTCCGCGGACCCATTTAATTTATCCTACAAGGGAAGTTCGATCATTTAAATACACGTGGCCAAACAGCAAAATGCACAAACGTAGTAACTTCATGCTTGCACGGTATCTCTCCCATTATCATGTTTCAGAACTGAAAGCTACGGGCCAAGCGCGATGGTGCACTAATTAACACTCATACAAAGCGGTTCAGTAAAAAAACCGCCTTTTGATACGATTCATTTATTCCGTTCGAGGTTTATTTAAAAAGAACAAATTATTTAACCAGAAAGCGTAATCCTTTTAAAACATTGGGCCAGATTTTAACGGTAGATAATTAAAATATTTCTAAATATTTTGGTTTTTCATATTGTACTTTATACAAAATAGATACATTATATATCTCTAATTCTACCTTTAATAGAATATATAGAAATATACAGTTATATAAATTTATAATTTAAGTATACGAATATTGTATAAATATATTCAAATAGCTCCGTGTTTCTATTGACTATGTCCAATATATTTAACTATGTCAAAGGGCAGCGATAATAATAAGAACATCAAACACTTCATTCTCTTTCACAGTACACCAAATTATTTTCAAAGATAATGAATTTCATACGCTGCAGCGAAAGTGTTCATTACAACAGCCCAGGGTAGCTGATTTACAAGCGTTTAAAGACTTTTATAAAGGCGATCAGCTCGGCGAAGACTTGAATGGAGATTTACCTTGATTTTGTAGCCTTTGTTCGTACGCATTATAAGGTAATGGGCTATTCCGCTTGGCTGGAATTCGCGCGGCACTCGAAGCGAAAGGGCATAACATCCGGGTTTACTGGTGCTCTCGCGCACCATGAACGCTCCTTCCGGTTCTTGGCTCAACACTTCCAGTGTTATTTCCCTGAAATTATAAATGACCACGATGCCGTGAAAATACAAATCAGCGCAAATAAACACCGAAAATAACGTCAGCGATGGAAACTCGATCATAGATGGGCAATATGACGCCATAGATCGTGTAAAACCGTAAAAGTAATTGTTATATCCCTTGTGGATAAATTATAACTGTTGTTATAACTGTACTCATTCAATCTTTTGTGATATAAAATATAATTTATATTTCTTCGACGATATGGTGAATATTTGTGCAATATTTTGTACCAATAATATTGAAGCATGTACAGGGATAATGAATTGCAAATATTTTGTTAAGTGAAATGTCACGCGAATCATTTGCTCAACAAAATAAATGTTTATACGAAACGAGTTCTAAAAAAGAAGAAACAATTATGAACCTTGGTATGCCAGCTTGGAACCACGGAGCTTTACGCAACTCGGCTTCCTCGCTGCGGTTATTCAAGCTGTCCGTTCTTTCCGGCAGGGGTGGCGGTGTTGGCGTCGATCCGTGAGTACTTCCGTCAGCAGGTACCGAACTGCTCGAGGTACTAATCTGAGATCTTCTTTTTGATTTGAATTCTGTTTCTGTTCCTGAACTCGGCGGGGAATTGTGTCCTATCCTGTAAATTGAACAGGGATCTTTTGTAATGAGGAATTCCTTCTTGAATAGACATACTTAAAATTTAATGTTTCAAAAATAATACATGTTGTTCACCTTAGTCGAATAATACCATTCACGTATATAAACTACTTTACTTCAAATTTATCACAAGAAAAATTCAAGCACCATGTGAAATTTCTCAGAAAGCTAATTTAAACGCTTTGTGTCCTCAGTTCCCATCCCTTATCTCTAATTATAGAGGAACTAAAAAGGAGAGTTCTCGAATCCATATTTATTTAGTATTCAAAATACATTATTCATCTCACTTCAGATGTTTCAATGAATTCATGTGTTGTCTTCCCTATTTTTCAACAATATTGCAAATGAATATTTATGTACCGGATAAACTGCTTAATCCCGAGGCTTAATCGTCTTAGGGTACCTTCAGAACATAAAACCCCCTCTGCGCTCGAGTGGCCGTGATAATCGAATTACCTGTTGTTCTCGATGTTGAAATTTTTCGCAGTGATGGACGCATTGATAGTGTTGTCCAAACTCTCGGATGGGGGGATTTTGTTGTACGCTGGCCTGGTGCCCTCCGAGTCGATGATCGTCTCGTTTATGTAACCCCCAGAATGCGGCCTGTTCGAGGGGCTCGTCGGCGTGCTACTACCGCTGACGAGGGGGCAGCTGTCATCCTCGCCGTTTAAACCAAGAACGTCACGTCCACCTGTCAAACCCATCGCCAGCCGCTTTATCAGAGGTGGCTTGTCCGTTAGCCTCTTGTACGAGTTAAGTTCTGTCGGTGAGTTGCTCTCGTCGCTGCTTGGTGTACTTTGCTGAGAGATACTCTTTGGTTCGTCCTCGTTCGTTATGGGACCAAGGACATTGGTGAAGTTGTGCGTTGGTCGTAGACCAGGAATCGTGTTCGGAGTCTAGTTTCGTAAAAACAGATACAAAGACATGTAATTAACATAGTTGAACCTTCGTTGATAATTTTTTGTTTTAAAAAATCGCCACATATTTTCTTTAGCTGTATAGGACGCATTGTAACTTAAAGCACAAAAGGGAAGAAGGTAACTTCATATGATTATTACCATTGTAAAAATGTTATTCCTTGTTTTCTACTAATTTTCTTATAATGACAAGTAATTTTTAAATAAGAACATTTTATTTGGCACGTTGTATTTCACCACCTTTCTTTACTAATAATCATTTCCCTTTCATTGTATTATAAAACATATCTCACAAGCATACGCAAATATAGTAACACAGACTGTCACTGGCCCACGCGACGCGAATGGAAAGTCACGTGGACGTGGCTTGACACATAGGTAATATGTTAACATTGTTTCTAACAGTTGATGAAGATAAGTGATTGAATTGTATATACTAATCTCGGAAATAGTATCTATACTTTTTTATTGCAGTGGCAGAAGGCTCGTTTCGTCGGCGTAAATAAAAGGAAGAGAGGAAGGAGATGATACAATACGGGGGCGACGACATTGTTACAGCGCAGGGACCGACAGAGCGCAATTATAATGGTGTGGTGGTATTGCTGCGCATGAATGGGGGGACGCAATAATTTCAATGTAAATGAGAATTTCATGTACAGTTAAGAGGGCGCTAATAAAATTTCAAAACGTGCCAGTATTGAGCTCGCGCAGCGGACGTCTCTATTTGAGCCGAGCCTGAGAACCGTGGTGCAACTATTAAGTGGCGTAAAATAACACAGCGCGGTTCTTAAAAATGCCATTCAGTAGAAATACGAGGGATTAGAATTCATGCGCGCGTATATACCTTCACGCTGGCGAGTCGCAGCGTGGGCGAGCCGGCGCTGCCGAGCTGCACGTTCATGTCCGCCGCAGACGAACCGCTTCCAGTTCTGGACGTGGGCGACGTTCGACTTTTTAGCCACGAATTCGAGGATGAATTTCTGCAACCACCTCCCACGCCGGCGATCGAACTGTCGCCAGCCAGCGATTTGTTCTGCAATAATACAGATTCAATTGTTAGATAGAAACGGAAGATAAAACGTTCGCGTGTTTCCCTGCGATAACCGTAAATAATAAGCGGACCGTGGATCTTGCGCGTTCATAACATTCCCCGGGCAAAACAGCCGCGATAAAATGATAGATTCCGGTGAAATTTAAAGGCGCCTCCGCACCGCTAACGCGATAATTGAATTCCTTACCGAAGAAATAAACATCCGTCCAAACATGCCTATTTTTTCCGAATCAACTCGTGAACATTTGCATTTATACGAGTGTACGAGCTGCCTACCTATGAATTTAAAGTCACGTGTTTTATGCGGCTGAAATTGCACGCATATTGATCAGATATAGAAACACAGGAGAAACTGTGAATAACTAATTCGCCATCGATATTCGTACATTGTCGGATTTACCTGAAGCTCCACGGAACTCGTAACGAGAGACACTTTTTCGCGTGGTCGTAAATTGTTGAGTCTATCGAAATGTTCTATACTATGTCTCTTTTCAAATATTAATCATTCTATAAAAATAGAACCTATAAATTACTATCGCGCTGAGAAGTGGTCGTTAGTAACGATAGAAATAATATTCAGTAAACAATAATAAATCTATTAACAATTATATCATTTTCTTTTAATTCAAATATGGACGATACTTCCGTAGACCAACAATTTGCCAAAAGTTTTCGTCTGCGTTAGAATTCCCGGTTGAACGAGTCACGACTGGTTACAAGGAATACAAAAAATAGGATCGTGTTGAATGTTTAACGGGTTGAAGAACAGAGTTCCTGTGCCAGCCAAAAGTTCACTAGCCGATATTGTTTCGAGAACGGCTCGCGGTACCAGTGATTCGAAGCCTGTCGAAGGAACTTGGAAACCGATGAATAGTTTATCGACAGAGTGCTACGATACCCAGGACGATCGTGCGGGGAGAACCAGCGGGCACGCCGCGACGGACTGACCGTTTACTTGGAAACGCGACGGAGTCAGGAGACTTGGGTCGAATTTATAATTAACGCAGCCCGTAAAATGGGACACCTCTACTGGAGCCGGACGAGGCACCGCGCGTACGTTGCCGCTCGTTTTTTCCGTTGTGCATTCAGAAAACAGAAACGGAAAGGCAAATGAAAGATCGATGCCACGGTCATTACATAGAATTCTTTTTCCAATTCCGAGCAACGAGATCCTGGATATAAAGTTTTCCACGTCTCTTCGAGCTTTCTGGCTGGCCGGCGAGAGAATTTCGTTTCTGATAAATGGTCCTGTTAAAATCCGGTGACAGGCAATTATTTGGGACGGTCGACCGTGAAAAATTGCTATCAAACGAAAAGCGATCGAAGCAAAGGGTAATTCTTTGAACAAACAGTGTCTCGTGTGCGTTCTCTATATATGTCGCTTGTTCGAACGAAATAAATGCAGTAGGACCGGTGTTTAATAATAGATTAGGTCTCGTGTGAGACCGCTGTTTTAACGTTCGGTTTCACCATTTATGCAATTGACCATTGTTGTTTAGTTTATTGCTCTTTAATTTCATTAGACGCCAAGTTTAACGGTGTAGGAATGAAATTTTTCAAGGATCTACAGTTTCATGCTTTATGCATGAAACTTCCAAAGTAGGAAGTTAATAAATTGGACCTAGTTGCATGTAGCGCGCACTGTAATTAACCCGATCGCCATTTTCAGATGGGAGGAATAAAATTGAGTGATCTTTCAGAGAAGATTTGCATTATTGTTGTTGAACTGTTGATGATTTTTCATGGATGTGTTAACATTTTAGTAAACAGAGGATATTTAATATTTTTTTTCAATATTGCATATACATTAAGGAACCTGTTAATAAGTGCAAATAAAACTTCAGAAAAGTCCAGTTCATAGTTTTTTCTGGGAAATGTATAAGTGACCTAGTTCCCACGGGGTAGGTATAGATGGTCCGTTAAAAAGAAACGAGAGTGTTCCCCTAGGAAAAAGGAAAAAAATACGTACCCACGAGGACCGGGTCTCCTGTTTGTCTTTGCGATAGGGTGGCGATGACTGCGGTGAGATCACATCCTGAAGGATCGGTTGGCGCTGGAGTTGCGCCACGTATGCCATACGAAAAGCATTGCCGACAAGGGTGTTCAACTCCTCGGCCTGCAAGCATAATATTGAAAATATTATTTAATAACAACATCCATTTCTTTAAGTTACTTTTAGTTGGATACTATATATTTAAAATGACTATCTTATTCAAGTATAAATGTACATGTGACAGATTTGAGAACAATCAAATAGCAAATAGCGTAACATTAGCCCAGAACCATTGTTAAAAGAAGCCACGCATTCGTGACATCCATCGTTAATGTGTTAATTTTCAAAGTTCATCAGTGTTCCAAGATGGAATTCAAAAATGGGAGATGGGAAATGTTAATGGAAAATGACGGTGAACATATTGATTATTAAAAATAAATATCATTTATTTACATTGGAAGTCGGTGTCAGTATATATTACAAAATGGTCAAACATGGAACGCAATTGTTTATATGTACTATAAGCGTATAATACATCAGAAACTAGAGTTTCATGGTTACCCATTCTTCATCAAGCAATCACAGCTATTTATAGCATACAGGGTGTCCCACTTAACAGGGGCCAGTAGCACTAGCTCATATCTACAAAAACGTAAGCTATTCAAACGGCAAGAAACAATTTCACTTTCCCATGACCATCCTACCGTGTCTATACGATCGAAGACGG